AATTTCCTGCTTTCTTTATTAACGCTTGAGTACAATCCTTAAAACCATTAACCCTTTAAAATAAGCAGTTATTACTAGTAGCTAATATGTGCCATTTAACTCTTGACCCAGAGATAAGCAGCAGTGAATCATGCATAAAGTCATCAGGAAGTCAATTCAGACATATGTGTATCTAACTAATCATTTGATACTAGTTCATTTGTCAGTCTGTTCTCTATTATCTTATCAGTATCTACTTTATCTTTGTTTATTCCGAGCTGGGGACTACTTTTTTACTTTTAGTTCATTCACAGTTAATTCCTGATTTGTTCCTTGGTATCTACACAGGGTTGTGTGTGCCTTCACACTAAAATCATTACTGAGTGTCAATAGATATATGCTCTTTGGTAGCAAGTGGCCTTTCAGCCGGTTTAAGATGTTATTTCCCTGGAGGATAGTGGAGATAATGCTGTTGACAGGCTGTGGTGTGTGTGATGTTGAGGTTAGTTACTGGAAAAATGACATGAACAAACCAAGACATTTTGTGGCTGTCGTTAAACCGAGCAGTAGCCAATGTCAGACAGAGGAAGTGTCATGTGTCTGTTAAAGGGGACCATTTGTATTTTTTAATGTGGACTCAATTTCTCTATGTTTTTGTGCCTGAATTACAAATGGAGGCAACAATTTTTGACATTATTCCAGTACTGAGAGCTGCAGCTGGCAGCAGCAAAACAAACTGCAATGTCATGTTATTGGCCAATTGTGCAACATCAATTTCCATCCAATAAAAGTTTGTTTTTGCCACTGACCAACTCAGATTATTATTATAAGTGTCTGACAACATAATGGAATTATCCCTAATGAAGCTCAGGGTAAATTCAATCTATAGTAATTCACAGTTCTCTCTCTGTCCCACTCCCACTGCTTCCTCCATTCAACTGACCATGGGCTTTCTCTCTCTTAGTTAGCCAGTCAAACTTTGCCACGATCTCCTTCAGCCATTCATGTTGCTGCTGCCAAACTTTAAATCTGTTCTCCTCTCTGCTCCTGTCAGCTGTCATTTTAGGTGGGAGCTGGACAGGCTCATCAAAAGCCTGCTCCTCTTCACATCCAGATCATCAGCTCCCTCTTCATCTCATCTCATCACCACCAATGTCTAGACCCTCCACCCTCCTGGAATATATGACATCACGATGGGGTCTAATCGCCAAAGACTTTTCACATTTCTCATACTCATGTGCATATGTACCTAAATATTCCTCTCTCTCGGAGTGAGTCTCTTCCAATTTAACTGTGTCAGACCTTTATATTAAAGAATAAGATCCTTTTTGTTCAACCAGAAACAGCCCTGAAATCACTATTGCCGAACCCAATAGTCATTTCATAATCTTAAAACTTCCTTCAAAGTTGACAGGAACAAAAAAAAAACCTCACAGAAAATATCTTGGTTTGTCTTTCCATGGTTCCAGCAAGCACCAACTCTGGTTTGGTTGGATGCTGCTGCTAAAGTCCTGGCAAAAACTAGGAAACATGACCACACTGAGAGGATTCATCTCAAAATCTTGCTGTATGTGGAAAAATCTCTCTGTGGCTCAGCGCCCAAATATATCCCTGACATGCTTGTGTCATACAAACCTTCTAGGACCCCTGAAGACATCTGGAGTTAGAGCAAGAGTTAGAACAAAACATGGTGAAGCAGTGTCTTGTTGTCATGCAGCACAAACCTAGGATAACCTCCCAGAAGATGTTAGACAAGCCCTGACTTAGACCACTTTTAAGTCAAAGCTAAAAACATTCCTTCGTTACACTGCCTACTCAACCCTGTATTTACGGCAAAATTAATTCTAAACTCAATTTTAAATCTATCTATCTATCTATCTATCTATCTATCTATCTCTGTCTGTCTAGCATCCTCTCCATAATGTTGTCAGGCACTTAAAAAAACAATCTGAGCCTGTCAGTGTTAAAAACAAGCACTTTTAGTGGAAGTAAATTGACAGTGCACAAATGCCCATTAACATTACATTACAGCCTTTTTCGCTTGCTGCTGGCCGCTCTCTCTCAGTACTGGACCAAAAAAATTGTTGTTCCCATCAGTCACTTAGACACAAAAATGTAGGAAAACAGGGTCTAAAAATAGGGTCCTTCTGTTGTCACTGTGTCACTGTATTACCATACACACACACTTTAGGCATAGAAGTTTATTGTGAAAGAACTCCACAAACCAAGGGCAAGCTCACACACCTCACCTCGCTTTCCACACTGCTACTCTTATCAGCGATAAGGCTGATTCCTGTTTCTGACCTTCTGCAGGCAGAACCATAAGTCACTGGTGATCATCCAGCTGGCTGCTGCTCTTACCTGGAACTGGAGCAGCTCAAAGTGGACGGGAAAAAACAACAGCACAGAAACAAAAATAGAGTCAAGAGGCGGTTGGAGACGGTCGCATGATGTAGAGATTCCCTGACTTTCAAGAGGGAGATTTTTACAAGATAGAGTAATTTTATCAAGGCATTTGCCAAACATGTGACTGACCAGAAAAGCTTTTGAAACCCTGATTCAATTATCCTGTTCATGTGGTACGGTATATTTCAAATGTACCTCATTTTCCTTATCTGTTAATTAAGAATCTAATGTAAAAGATCAAGCGTAAACTTCTGTTTTTTTTTTGTTCAGTCGCTGTTGAGTTTTTCAAATGTATTTTTTGGCGCTTTGAGTACCACGAGCCGAGTCCCATCCAGCACTATTATATTAGAGAGAAGGCAGACTTCTCTATGGCCGATATCTCCAACACTCTGCAACTCACACCAAAACAATCCAGTCTGTTGAATAGCACCACAGGTGAGAAAAAAAAATACTTTTGATTTTAATGTGAGATGTCCCTTTAAGCAGATAACAGACCTGCAGAGCAGCCACATTCCTCCCCTGCCCTTTCTCCAGTTCTGCATTCCCCTCTTCCACCATTATTTGTGCCTTTTATACTGTATGTGGGCAGTTTCTTTCTCCCTCTCCCTTTCTGTCTGCCCTCTTTCTCAATGTGCAGACAAAGCCGGCGTTGTCTGCTGAAATGCTGTGTTGCGGGGACAGGCTTTGGGTCAGCGTCTCATGGAATGCCTTGAAAACCATCTAGTGAGGGAGTGTGTTAATGTGCTGGTCTGTGCCCAGTCCGGTCTCTGCGTCCTTCTGGTCTCTGTGACTCATCTAATGAGTCATTACAGAAGACACAGACCCTGTGGTGATGGCATGTAATGATTTGAGGTAGAACGCAGGGGACTGTAGTTCTAAATTCTGACTAATTTCTAGTTTTGGGCTGTGGTCTGTAAGAGCCAGCTACTGTACTGCAAAAAACACTGCTGCATATCTCTATTTATTCTGTGGTCCAAAATCATGTCTTTATCTCAGTCTTTGTTTCTATTTGTCCCTCCCACTCTAGGTCATAGCATTGCTATTGTTGTCTGAAAGGATCAACCAAAACCAGTAAGGAATATTGGGATTTCTGTCAAAACTACTGTACTGACTAACTGTGCCAGCATGACTCTCCCTCCTCTCTCTCCCAGCCTATTGTCGCTGCTTCTGCTTGTAAACTGCAAGGATGTCAGTAAACACAATTTACTGTGAGAGCGTGGTGGAAGTGTGCAGATTGCACTCTCATGTCACAGGGTATGTTGCCAATATTTTTTCCCCTCTTGTGGGACTTAGCATATGTTTTGTTTATGCCTGTTTCCAAGGGAGTTTAAAGGTTCAGTATGTAGGATTTATTGGCATATGGCTCAGGATTGCAGAACTGAATCTTTTCCCATGTGCCAAGCGTGAACCCCAGTTTAGGAATCCTTCATTGTTCAAGAGATTGGATTCATGATTATCTGCATAAGTCTCTTCCTCTCCAAACCAAATCAACCAGGGGGATTTGAACTGGTAAAAACACTGAATAAAGCAGTTTCAAGTTACAAATTAGTGTTTTTCTGAGGAGCCCGCTCATGTGTATTTACCTTTCTTCACTGGTAGCTTTTGATCCAGACACTCAGGAGGTTTTTACCAGGAGCAGAATGATCTGCAGAGGTCTCTTTCATTAAAAGCAAACAGACCTGGTGATTTTAACTGGTAAAAACACTGAATAACGCAGTGTCAAGTTAAAAATCAATGTTTTTCCAATGGTGTTAGGTTTGCTGCAAAGGGGCTGCATACCCAGCACCTGCTCATGTGTACTCACCTTTCTTCACTGGCAACTTTTGATCCAGATGTCCAGGAGGTTTTTACCAGTAGCCGAATTATCAGCAGAGGTCTCTCATATTCAAAACCAGCAGATCTGGTGATTTAAACCAGTAAAACCACAGAATAAAGCAGTGTCATGTTCAAAATCAGTGTTTTTCCAGTGCTGTTCAGCTCTTTGTGGAGGGGCTTCTAACCATGGTGGCCGATGTTAAAATGCGAAAACGCGAAAATGCAAATGGCTGTCTAGAGACAGTGTTTTGTTTGTCCGTTCTGGGCTACTGTAGAAACATTGCGTGCAACAAGGCAGCTTACATAGGCAAGGACCCGCTCTCCATGTAGATATAAATGGCTCATTCTCAGGTAAGAAAACATTTTCAGGTGATTATACACTAAAATAAACGTATTAACTATATCATCTTCCATTTCTGCCAATATATCCCCCTAAATCCTCCACAGTGGACCTTTAATTTAAGTCTTGATTATACTATTATATGTACAGAACTACTATCAGTATTTGCCAGCTGTAGCCTGAAGCCCCATTTTATTGCTTCAAATGTGTTTTGACAAAGCCTCAGGCATCACTGACCCAGATGGGTTACACTATTGATCCGCTGCAAACTAACAACAGACAAACAAGGCACTGATCTTTTCCACCTACAGCATACTTGACAATTTAGGTTTAGATCTCCAAGCCTTTTGAGGTGTGGTACAGTATGTGTGTGTGCCAGCAGAGGCCAGTGGGAGGGGCAGCTGCAAGCAAAGTGCACAACATTCACCCCCTCCAGCAGTCACTCAGTCGCACTCTGCACCTCCTTCAGTGAGGACTCACCTTTCAACAGTTCAAGTGGAGTTTTGATTGTATCTCATGGAGGGCATGGTCACCCGTGGACTGTGGATGGTCGTCTTTCTCTTGGGATGTGGGCGACTGTCTGCGTTCAACCTGGACCCCGACAATGTCGTGCGAAAGAACGGAGATCCAGGCAGTTTATTCGGCTTCTCTCTCGCCATGCACCGGCAGCTTGATCCGATTGATAAGAGAATGTAAGAGCCATACTTGTTTCAATGGGGGACATATTTGGAGGAAGTTAATGTTACTTGTGCGTCGCCCTAGCCTGGGAGACACTCATTAAAATAACTTCTGTAACCATGTAATTAAAATGTCACAGTTTATTTTGGAGTGTTGTAGCTGCTTCAGGAGATTCAAATAATTTCAGACACCATTTCAGTTAGCACAGAAATGTCACGAGGGCTGAATGCTACGTAATGATTTGAGCTCAGGTATGTCGCAGGTAGTTTTCAAATCTGTTTTTCATCAAATCTCAGCCAACCATTTCCTCCAGCTTCCTAAAAGAATAACTGTACTTTATGCACCTGCTGTAAGTCTAACCATTGGCCTTCCTCTTGTTAATCTTTGTTGAGTCTTTACTTCCAGGTTACCTATTGAGTGTGAGTTTTTATTAGACTTTTGCACACGTGCCCGCAGCAGCGCGCGCCCACGTTTGCTGACTTTCTCTCAGAGTTTTTTCTTTGAGGTGAGACCGAGCTTTGGAGTTTGGGTCCAAAACATCTCATTGAATCATTGTTGGCATTTTTATGGGCATTGATTCAGAGGGATTAATGTCACTGTGTATAAAGGCTAACTGCCATCAAGTGGTCACAGGTTTGAATACCCTGAATATTAACTGACCTGAGATCAGAGCACTTTCAGATTCTTTAATCTGGGAGTCTGGTTGACTGTAATAGACCAGACAGACTGAAATATACATGTCTGACTGGGTAGGGGAATTTAGATAGCTTGATGCTCCATTATCAGGGGTGGAGGAAGTATTATTGATGATAATATTAAGACAAATAATTTTATTTAAATAGCACTTTTCAATCTTCAACACAAAATGCTGTCCAGATAAAAAGATTTACATAAAAAAGCCCCCTTCTATACTTTGATATAGAAAAATTGTGAGCATGAGCATATCAAGCAGCATTGAGCCCTTCCATGGACAAACTTGTGTAAAATGTGTATAGGAAGTATAACCTCATATAAATCAGATGAAATTAAATAGTAATAATAATAATAATAATAAACTTTATTTGTAATGCGCTTTTCAAAGTTACAAAGTGCTTTACATGCTTTATCCAGGATTTAAAACTATGTGGGATTCAAGTGAATAAAATGAGGCAATTTTAAGAAATACAAAGAACAATAAAATAAAAAAAAAGATAAGCCAAGTTGGCAACTAATTGCCCTGTAGATTGCACTGATGTATGTCAAATCAAGCCGTTAAAATAATACAAAAATAAAAGAATACAATAACCGATTACAAAACATGATAAAAACAATAAATAATTAAAGGTGAGAGTAAAAGTAATAACCACACATATAAACAAATAAGATGCAGATATGAGAGATGATGTCATATAAAGCAGTTATGCCATTAAAAAACAAACTTTCATTGTTGTTTTCAGATTTAAAGTAGTAATGCCACACTGTAAAAGCACTATGTTGCAAGTCCTACATTGAAAATGTAACATTAGCAAAAGTAAGTAACTATCAAAATGGACTTAAACTATTAAAAGTAAAAGCATTCAGTGCAGATATATCATTGGATTATTATTACTGATGCATAGATGTGTAAGAAGCCTTTCATGGTTACTTTGGGTGGAACTGATTTTAGCTGCTTTATGTATGGTTGGGTTCTTTATAACCATGCATATTGTTTTATAACCTCAACTTATGTTTTGTATAAAAAAAAATCTTAATTAAATCAAGTAACCATAGCTGCATAATGAATAAAAAGTTTGCACTAAAGTACAATACAGTACTAGTACTACAGAACATGATGCCATTCTTTAGATTATGCCATTTAAAGAATCTTACAATGCCAGCAACAGCATGAGTGCCTTAAATGGGGATCAAAATCTACTCCTGGTAATGATAAGTTTAGACTATTTGTGCTGCTTTTATCACAGAAATAATCAATATGCAGCCCTTTCTATCTTGTAATTAGTCAGTCAGTCATTAGGCTCAGAGTTATTAAACATTCACTAAGTCTTTAACCTTCTCCACAGAGGTTAAACACCTCTTAAACTTATTTACACACTCCTACTGCTGCTGCACATTCACACACACCCAGTGGCAGTTTGTGTCCTAGTTATAGGTCGTCTTAATGAGAGACACATGGTGATCAGCACAAGACCAAGGTCACTGCAGAGTCCCCCCTGCTTCAGGTTGTGAAGTCTAATACAAAAATGCTGAACTGTGACCTTGAAAGCAACACATACCAGTGTAGATAATGTAGACTGAGGGGTCAGTGGAGACATCAGCTACTGAAATGATTCAGTGATTGAACAAGATAGAAAACTAACTTGCAATTTTTTAAGTTATTTCTAATTAAAATACCAAATATTTGTTTGTTCCAGCTTTTTAAATGTGAAAATTTGTTCCTTGTCGTCTGTGATAATGAACTGAATAACCTCACAGTTATGCACTGTTGGTCAAACAAGATGACCTATTTGAATATGGTAATTGTGTCTCTTCACGATGGTCTGACATTATATTGACCAAACTATTCACTGATTAATTAAGAGTGTAATTGGCAGATTAATCAATGCTGAAAAAATATTTATTAAAGGGAAACTTTGCCACCTTTCATGTGGCTGTTCGATCATTGTTGATGGTATATGTAGTCAGTTGAAGAAATAAATTCCTCAGTGTGTGCTATGTTGATTGAGAAAGTTCTTCAGTTTGTGGAGCCGCGCCGCCATTGCCTACACCATCCATGACGCATTACGATTGAGCATCTGGAGGGTCCTTGGGGGCCATATCTTTTTGCATGGCTAAAGTAGTCGCAGCCTCAGCAGGTCTCTGCTGCATTTCTTCGACCACTCTCTACTCATATTTTGGGGTGCCATTTTTGCTGTTTTGCTGATATATGTGAAGGGAACAGGGAAGTTCTGTTTTTGAGCTGCATCCAGAGAATGCCAACTGGCTACTTGGAGGCCTGGAATTGCCAGTAGGGGGCGCCCACTAGCTCTCCTGGTAGAGACTGTGTCATTGCTGCAGTGGCTGTGGGATCAATTCTAACCCTTTGCTGCATGTCATCCCTCCACTTTCACACTGTATCTGTGCTATCAAATAAAGACAAAAAGCCCCCAAAAATATGTTTTTAAAAAAAGAAATTGCCGGTAGCTCCTCCTCCAACTACACTGCGTCAAATGACGGTGCTGGATGGAGGCAGAACAAGAGATTTTGCAGCTGGAAACTCAACTTTCTCAGTCAATATAACACACGCAAAGGAATTTATTGCTTCAGTCGACTCCATTTACCACCAACACTGATTGAAAACCACATAAAATGTCGCAAAGTTTACCTTTAACATTATATTCAAACCCTTAAAGCTCGAGTGTGTTGGATTAAGATGCAACTACTGGCACAAATGTTATATAATGTTCATAACTATGTTTTCCATTAGTTTTAAATCACCTGAATATAAGAATCTGTGTTTTCATTAACTTACAATGACCTGTGTATATCTAAATACACAGAGTCTGCCATGTTGTTCTACAGTAGCCCAGAATGGACAAACCAAACAGTGGCTCTACACAGGGCCATTTTTTTGTTGTCATGTAGGCCATTGTAGTTCTGCTACACACTTGGCACATGGAAGAAGTTTCAAATCTGCAACCTCACTGCTAGATGCCACTAAAGCCTAAACACTGGACCTTTAAATTTTAGGCGTGTAATTTTAGGCAGGATTTGAATGTGTGTGTGCATGTTGGAGCAGGAGGCCATGCTTGTTTTGCAAGTGACGGTGTTCCTACTGCTAGAGGTGGAATGTTCTCTCAGTTTGTGTGGACAGTGTATTTGTGTGTCTCTACATGCATTCACGTTCTGCCTGTGGATGAGTGTGTGCATGTGTGTGTGTGTGTTTTAATGGTGCTGATGCATGCTGTGGCTGAGCACTGAGGCGTTGCCTCGTCAGTCACTTGGAAGAGTGTCAGAGAGCTCAGTGGGCTGCTTGATACATTCCTAACCTGAGGCAAAAAAACTAGACATAGATAGATTAATTCTCTGAGCTGACGGTGATTTGAATTATGGTATTTTGCAACAACATGTGTGCTGAAGTAATTGTTGGTATGAGTGTGCTTGTGTCCCCCCATATGGGGTCTTCGCATTGCTGGGTGCGAACAGTGAGTCACAATCCTTTGCCAGCCCTGGATGCCAACTTTTAATTCCAGTCTTATATATCCCAGTATCTTTCATGCCCTACGAGGATGAGTGTTACATGTACCTGCAGGAGAGGGCAGGAGCTGTTGGGATTGTGTATATGTGTGTGTGCATGTCCCAATGTGTGTGTGCTGCATTCCATGGTTGGTCATAATTGCCAGTTGGAGCTGTCTGTATAATAAAATCAAGAGGGAAAGCACAAAACACATGAGTGGGGAGAGGAGGGAGGAGTGAGAGGTTGGGGAAGTTTAAGTGTGTGGATCCAATGTGAGTAAATGCATTGTGTATGTGTTTTTGAGACATGAACTAGCTCTGGAGAAATTCAGATGCAGCAAGAAGAGTAAAGGCTACAGGGACACGCTGTGAGAAAGAGGAAAGGAAGTCATGCTGTGTCTAGATTCCATAAATAGAGATGAGAAGACTGTAGTAGTTCAGTCAACTTTGTGCGTGATTGTATACGGTCTGTGTGCAAGTATGAGGCACAGATTAAGTCCTCCCCCCCCCACCCTTCTCCTCAGGTTAGTTGAGGATATCCAACATCAAAGAGAAAGAGAAAAGATTTGAGGAAAAGAAAGAGGTGATGGCTGAAAGAATGCTGAGAGGAAAGTAAATCAGTTTTACATCTGGGCACCAAATATCAGCCGTTACTCAGACTCAACGGGCTCGATCCTGGCAGGCGGATGGAAAGAGAAGTTGGGTAACACATGACAAGATCCTCTGGATCTGCATCCCATTTGGAGGCCTTACTGATCGGGTGCCGCTGGCTGTTGCTAAGCAACAACAACACACCTCTCTCAGCAGGATGTCTCTCTAATGGTCACTCTGCCTGTGTGTCTGAGTGCCACCACCAGTATGTGTATGTCTGTTTGGCGAGTCATTGCACACCAAACACACACACACACACACACACACACACACACACACACACACTCTTTCTGTTTGTCTTTGTCCTTCCTGTAGACTAAGCCTGTGTGTTAGGGCTTCCTCTGCTTGTGGTGAATGATTAGATAAACAGCTGGGTCGCTGTCAGTGAGGCAGCAGGTCAGCCTTATTACAGTGCCACTCCCTGACACATGATGTCAGCACTTCACTCTTCAATGGCAAACAATAATAGTAATGTGTAGCAATGAAGATATGTATCTACTAAGAATACACTACACGCTTTTTTGTTGAATCATGTGTAAGTGACTACTCTAACATTCTGCTGTATGAATTATTTAAAGGATAACTCAGAATTCACGTGTTATTCCCATGATCTAAGAACGTCCAAAAATATTAGTAAACATGAACAACCCTCTTCCAAATCTTCCAAAAACTGGAGTGCTAGAGCTCAGATTTTCAAGTATAAAGTCTATCGCTTCTCCACAGACAGTGAAATGGGAAAGATTTTCTAGATGACACTGAAGGCCCACTTAAACACATTCATATCAATGTAGGTGTACATCATATTTAGAGTAATTCAGCACCTTTCCTTGGCGTCAGACAGCCTTTTCTGACAGAGAACGGAAGCCGATATCTCAAAGCCACCAGACTCAGTTGACAAAACCAGTAATTTTACTTTACAGAACAGGTTGCTGGTCTACCACTGCCGTGATTGCTCAATGTGTAAGATAAAGCGCAGAAAATATTCCAAATATACTTAAGCATCCACTGATATTGTTTTTCAAAGTGGGTCTTTTCAGATGGCTAAAAATGTTTTGCTGCAGCCCCCGTCCACAGCACTACATCACTTAGCTTTCAAGCTGGTAGATTTGATCAAAGATGTTAGCAAAGCAACACAGTACAAAATAAAATAAGCACGGTGGAAACATCAGACCACCGTTTAACTATGTATCTTTTAATGTTATAGTTAAGGCAGAAAATGAAACTAGAAAAGTGTCCGCAGAAGTTTGCCGATTGCAACAGAAATCAATAGCCGACATCATGGTGACATCAGCTCAACAAGTTACTTAAATGAGTATCACAGTGTGATCGTATAGAAAAAGAAACTACAAACTCCATGAATGCAGCAGAGACCCCAGACCCAGTGACCCCATTTCCCAGAGTCCAGTGTGTCTTGGCAGAGCTCTAACAGTCCATTCTCCTGACTTCCTGTGTCTCAGAGGATAACAGGAGTGGAGATGTGCCCACCTGGGACTCACTGTTAGTCACTCATCTCAGAAGCGATGACTCATTTGAATCAGACTCATCTTTGATAGACAAGCACCTGCCCTAACAAATTTGTTTTTCTCTTTGGTACGGTGGTGCATGTAGAGATGGAGAATTGACTTCTGTATACATTGTCATTCCCTCCTCTAGTTTATAAAAAAAGCAGGATTGGACACTGACTGGGTGGGAAAACAACACAAATTATAGTGCTCTGGTTTCTGAAACAACGCCAAGCCAATCCAGTGGTCCAAATCGGATAAACACTGTGTGAGTTTGTTTCCATTATGATGATTTGTCGCGATGTGTTTTATTTAAAAGAAATGTCTTCATACTCTCTCGATATTTCCTGTAAACCCGTTTAAATCCATCTCATTAACAGCAGCATCACAGCTTTAACAAACCATATTTTTGTTTGTCACATAAATAGATTTATCGTCCTCTGCTAATCCCCGTCACGCCCGCTGAAGTCAATGTTCACGGTGATTTACGGTGTCTGAAAAAGTTTAAATCTTCTCCCATGTGCAGTTAGCGTTGACTAACGAGAGACTCTTCACTCTGACTGTATGTCTCTGTTGGTTCACTCCCAGATGGTGTGCATATCTGAGAATGCTTTGTGCTCAAGCTAAAAATGGCTTTGCTTAATCTCATCTGGTGAAGACAGTGTGCTGGGCAACATTAACTCTGAAGGTCATCGGACAGACAAAGCAAGCAAGAGAGAGCTCCTGGAACATACTGACAGAGAAAGAGATGGGTGTATTGACAGTGTAAACCTCCACAAAGCATCAGTTGAAATGGTGACATTCTTGACTTGTTTGATTTACTCTGTAGGAAACTCTGGGAGCTGGATGCCCATCGTCAAGACTCGGGTGTGGCATTTGCCCTTGTCCGTCATCCACAATGGCAGCCTCTGTGTGTGTGTGTGTGTGTGTGTGTGTGTGTGTGTGGAGAGAGATAGAAAGCCTGGTTCAATCAACCACAGCAGGCATTTGAAAGGGGGCTTTGACTCAGTTAGACCGTGAGGACATGGAACATCAGTTTGGTGGCGGATGTGTGTGTTTGTGTGTGTGAATACGGCTGCTGTGTGGCACAGTGGACTGGAATGTGTGATAAAATTATACGCAAGAGGAAGAAATGGCAGAATGATTCTAATTCTGAGTCCTAGATGAAAATGGATGTGACAATGTGCATTTGAGTGAGCTGCATATGGTTTAACAGATTCATTTGTGTGTGTATGTGTGTGTGTGTGTGTGTGTGTGTGTTTTGCAGGCTGCTGGTTGGTGCCCCGATGGCGAAACGCTTGAGCCGTCAAATATCTGAAAGGCCAGGAGGACTGTACGACTGTGACATCACCTCACCCTCTCCTACTTGCAACAGAGTTGATTTTGATAACAGTGGTGAGATATCTGCTAACACTTGTGCATTTCATTTGTGCACACTTTCCCCCTCGATATTTAAGTCTCAGTATCCTTTTTATGTCTCTTTCTGTCCCTGTCTCTGTGTAGAGAATCCAAAAATAGAAAGCAAACATAACCAGTGGATGGGAGTGACAGTCAGCAGTCAGGGGCCAGGAGGAAAGGTTTTGGTAAGACTGTGTGTCTTTGTATCTGACATCAAAATTAAATGAAATGATTACAAACTCAGTTGTAGAGCTGAAACAATAAGGCGATCAATCGATTAGTCAGTCAACATTAAATTAACAACTATTTTGACAATCGATTAATTATTTTAGTCGTTTGTCAAGCAAAAGTGGCAAAAATTAACTGGTTGCAGCTTTTCTAATGTAAGGATTTGCTGTTTTTCTTTGTTTTATATCATTATAAACTGAATATTTTTGGGCACAAAACATTTAAAAGTCGAATTGCACTCTAGGAAATCGTAACAAGTATTTTTCGATGTACAATCATTTTATGCAAAAAATGTGATATTTCCAGATTTCCAAATTTCCTAAATTATAGTAAATTTCATATTTTGGTGTTTTGAAATGTTGCTTGGACAAAACAAGACATCTGATGAAGTCCCTTTAGACTCTCATTCTTAAAAAACATTTTTCTCCCGTAATCAAGATATTGTCATATTCTGTCACATATATATATATTATCAGAGCAATATACAAGAAGCCTGCCATCCTTATGAAGACATCTACATCATATTTACTTTACTTTATTTTATTTATAAGAAAAACGCACCTTAATCAACTGTAAATGTGCCAGTCCAATTTTCAGTTTTTCCTTTTGCAAATTATTTTGAGCCCATTCCAGCAGCATTATTTCTGTGAGGAAGGCAACAAGTATAGTACAGGCCAATCAGAAGCAGAGCATGGCAGGTATTTGCTGAGTACTGGTAGGGAAAAACATCAGTGAAATTCCTGAGTCTGTGAAAGAGGCAATTAGGCATTCAGATGAAAGGGCACTTCAACATCTCCAAAAAACCTATTGCAAACTTATTGCTAGCGTGCCACTGGTTAAGTTACCATGTACCGATGGTGGCTCTCGTGTCTAAGGTTGCTGACCCCTTATCTAGGATATTGCAGCGTGGAAATAACGTACAGATTTTTGCTAGCAAACATAATCATTAGTTGCAGCTGTATTTTATAGACTAAACTCAGTCAGTTAATCAAGAAATGAATTGGCAAAATAATTGATCATTATTGTCAGTTTTAGCCCTTCAGATACCTAAAACATACAAAAACCTGTCTTATCCAAGGGTATTAAACATGCAATGGTATTAAGTGATATGCAGTGATGCTCTGTATCAAGCAGACAAATGGTGTTGGAAGTTATTAAGGTGAAATTTACCCAGAATTAATTTAGCATTTAAACTCTCAACGGCCATTTCAGCACAAGCCTTTTCCTATTAATCAGGAAACTTGACTGTGTGTTTCTGTTTCCCTGGCAGACCTGTGCCCATCGCTACCAGCGTCGGGCCAATGTGAATACAGCTATTGAGTCCCGTGATATTATTGGCCGCTGCACCGTGCTGAGTCAGTCCTTGACCATAGATCCCTACTCGGGTGAAGAGGGAGATAGCTGGCATTTCTGCGACCAGAGGCCCAGAGGTCACGAGATGTTTGGCTCCTGCCAGCAGGGCATCTCGGCCACATTTGACAAGAACTACCACTACCTCATCTTTGGGGCTCCTGGAGCATACAACTGGAAAGGTAGTCTAATGTGTGTGTGGGTCTGTGATAGCTTGCAGCTTGCAGTGAGTAAATAAGCCATGAAAATGATTTACGTCATTATCAATCCACTCTATGTGATTTATGATGTTCGCTCTTCTTCACAAAGGAATTTGCCAGTGATGCTTCTCCTCTCCTCTCCTCTCCTCTCCTCTCCTCTCCTCTCCTCTCCTCCAGGTATTGTACGCTTGGAACAAAAGAATGAATCCTTCCTGGAGCAGGGCATCTTTGACGACGGTCCTTTTGAGGTGGGAGATGAGACTGAAAAGAATCCTGATTTGGTCCCGGCTCCTCCCAACAGCTACCTTGGTAACATGCCGCTTGCCGTCTTCATCTGCTTCAGTTGCTCCATCGTCACACTTTCATGCATGTTACATTCCTTTGTCTCTGCTTCCCAGGTTTCTCTCTGGACTCAGGGAATAGTCTGACCAAGAAGGGCCAGCTGACAGTGGTGGCGGGAGCTCCCAGAGCGAACCATAGCGGAGCAGTGGTTCTGCTGAAGACAGCCGGCGAAACAAGTCGCAGATTGGTAGATGAGTACACCCTGGAGGGGGAAGGGCTGTCCTCGTCTTTTGGCTACGATCTGACTGTGCTGGATCTCAATGCGGATGGGTGAGCGAGGCGGGTTGAAGGACACAACCTGTAACTTCTGCTTTGAAAACTGTCATTGCTTTTACTCTATACTCACGAACAAGCTTTTTTTTGTTAGTTGGCAGGACATTGTGGTGGGAGCACCTCAGTACTTTGAGAAGGAGGGGGAAATCGGAGGAGCCGTCTACGTGTTTCTCAACAAAGCTGGAAAGTGGAACACAGTCAAGCCCACCAAGCTATATGGGCCCAAGGATTCTATGTTCGGCCTGGCTGTGCAAAACCTGGGAGACATCAATCAGGATGGTTTCGATGGTGAGGCTGCAATGTTTTTGTGTGTTCATATGTGTACTACTGTCAGACGGTCATGCTCTATGCCCCTCTTTGAATGAAATATACTTACGTCACTTCTCAAATAGTGGACATTTGTTGAGGCTTCCCGGCCTTTATCTGAAGCAGGCTTAAATCAGAGAGAGGCCATTGTTCCTAATTCACTTTATTTGGTTGTATTTGGTGTGTTAAATATTTGTTACTGCATAACTCTTTTCATACAAACATAACACTCCCTGCATCTGTTTCAAATTAAAAGCCCTAACAAGGCTTTTATTGTGAAATATTCACAGGTTTCCCCTACAGTACTTTAAATGTAGCTACTGCCATCTTGCAGCACTTACTACGTTAATACAAAATCCACTTTGGATGGCATATTAACAGACATTCTACAACAGTGACATAAACAGGACAGTAACACCTTAGATGGCTAATACAGAACAACAAAGTGTTAAAAATAAAATTATTTTATTGTTGAATTTGTTAAATTGATGGTCCAGTGTGTAGGATTCATTTAGATTTTAGTTTATAATCACCTGAAACTAAGAAATATTGTGTTTTTATCACCTTAGAATGAGCTGTTTATATCTACATACGGAGCGGGTCCTCTTCCATAGAGTCCACCATGTTGTTTCTACAGTAGCCCAGAATGGACAAACCAAAAACTGGCTCTGTATAAGGCCAATTGCGTTTTTGCGTCAGCCAGTTCTCTTACACGCTTTTCACACAGGAAAAGTTTCAGTTGGCTGCAGTCTGCAACCTCACAGCTAGATGCCACTAATCCTGCACACTAGACCTTTAGGAAATATGCATTATTTTTAGTCAGCATGCACGAGTTTACCCACCCTTGTTTTCCCGCCTTAAAATCTGGCCTTTATTTGAGAAAATACAGTGTGTACCTATGTAATCTCACTGTAACTCACTGTTGTTATCCTTGCTGTCAGATTTTGCAGTGGGAGCTCCTTATGACAAAGATGGTGCAGGGGCTGTTTACATCTACCACGGTGCAAAAACAGCCACAGGTCTCAAGTCTGAAAAAGCTGCACAGGTGTGTAAAAACTGGTGGAATAACTTAGCTTTTGTTGCATTTTCAAAACATACATTTGTGGAAAATACATATATTTTGTCCAGATGTGTAATGTTTGCATCTAAGAAACTAAAATCCAAATAAATAAATTCTTTTAATAATGAAAATGATGCTTAAAGTGGAAAGATGAAAATAATCACACCATTGGTGTTTAGATTAGTAGAGAAGCAAGCCAAACAATCATAATAAAAGTTCCATTTTCCAAAATGGTTCATTGAAGTTATGTTAGGTATGATAGTTGGTTTTAGATCAGATACATTTGGATGAATACAAATTGTACAGTAAGTTGCTGTACTCAAAACGTGTGTTTGTCTTTCTTCAGATTCTGCAAGGCAAAGGTTTAGGAGTGGAGCAGTTTGGCTACTCTTTGGCAGGCAACATGGACCTGGATAGGAACACCTACCCTGACCTGGCTGTTGGATCCCTCTCTGATGCTGTCTTTGTCTTCAGGTGAGTGAACTGGCTCACATTTCTTACAGTACATGTCTTATTACAGATATTGGGTTGCTCACTTTACTTCGATCCTCCACAGAGCCCGTCCAGTTATTAACATTCAGAAGGAAATCAAGTTCACACCGAATGAAATTGACCTCAGCAACAAGAACTGTGGCGACAACTTCTGGTATGTGTGTCTTTTTTCAGCAGGAAAAACTGTTAAACATTAAACTACTAAACATTATAACAGTACTGTATCTGACTGTGGATAAACTGCATTGTGTCCCCAGCTTGACAGTTGAGGCATGCTTAACCTACACTGCCCGCCCCAAGAGCTACGCTCCCAAACTGAGTAAGCTGAGACATATTTAACTTTATTTAAGCTTATAAAAAAATGAATATAATTCTGATATATTTCATTAAACTGTCACTATTTCCTGACAGGAGTATATGAGATAGATGGTTTGTGAGCTGGTGTGTGAGCTGGTTCCCAGCTCGTTGGTTGTGGTCCAAAAGTGGGTCAAGTATAGTAAATTCCAGCACAGAGCTTTTATTTTGAAGTGCCGTTTTCTGCTGTAGAGAGGGTGACTAACAGACAGCTACTTGACAGCAAACTAGCTCAACAACATGGCCAGACGCAAGTATGATGTTAAATGTATTAAACTGTGGGGCCTCGAACTAATGACTAAGGAGCAATCTGGACCCCATGGCTGGACCAGTTGGGAACCACTGAGCTAGAGCAAACATTCACACAATTGCCAGCTGCATTAGAGACTCCTCGGCTCATTTGGTTGTTTTTGTTCAGGCATGGTTAATTCTTGCAAATGTCACTAGAGGCACTTCGAAGGGGCAGAGGACCATGATAATTTCACAGACTATCTGTTTCAAGTACTATCAGGATATAGTGACAGTTTCAGCAAATATAACAAAAGTATTTTTGTAAAATTTACCAACTGTAGCTTTAAAGCAACACATCATCTTTGTAGGGTTTCTGCTTCTTTTTATCATATTAAATAATTACAATAATGTCTCTGTCCCATCTAGCGGTGGAGTACTCCCTCGAGGCGGATGCTGATTACGGGCAGAGAGGTGTTAGTACCAGGGCGACCTTCTCCGATTCTTCTGGTCCTACCTCCAGAGGGACCGTCACTATAAGCAGCAAAGGAAAGAAACAGTGCATTACTCGTGAGCTCATGATAAAGGTACTGACTCTTTCTGGAAATTTGTTTTTCAAAGTATATCACGGGTGGTGCGTAATGTTGCATGATTTTGCAGACAGATATTCGAGACAAGCTGCACGGGATCCCCATCGATGTGTCTGTGAACATCCAGGATGCCAAGCGTAAACGCAGACAGAGCTCATCTGAACTGCAACCTGTCCTGGATGCCAATGAGTCACCGAAATTTCGCTCAGAGGTACACATGCATGAGAGATGCATTGTACAGACATGCATAGATTTAATGTTCCCACTGTGTCATCTTTTTTGTGTGCGTGTGTTTGTGTGTCAATGTGGTTGTAGGTGAATTTCCTGAAGGAAGGTTGCGGCAGCGACAAAGTTTGCCAGAGCAATCTGCAGGTGAAATATCGCTATGGCTACAGGACAACTGATGAAGACACGTTCACTCCATTAGAGCTGTGAGAAAATACACACACACACACACACACACACACACACACCCCTACACCTTTTTTCACAAGAATATCATGTTTATGTGGGTTACCTCCATTGCTCATAACTTCTGTCTGTCTAAAGGGAGGGTGACGTGCCAGTGATCTCGCTCAGCAACCAGAAAGACATCGCCTTGGAGATCAAAGTGTCCAATCTAAATGCAGATGATGCACATGAAGCCTCTTTGACCGCCTCCTTCCCACAGTCTGTTACCTACGCCGCTTACCGCGTTCCAGCTAATGTGGGTCTCTCTTTCTCAGTCACCCCTTTACTTTCACATATACACACACACCACACACACCTGGTTCTGATTTTAACTTGTTATTGATTTCAGGAGGGGCCTGTAAACTGTAAAGCCAATAACAACGGTTCTATGGCTAACTGTGACCTTGGAAACCCGTTCAGAGCTAACTCAGAGGTGAGAGGAAATCCCCTTTGGACAATGTTTACCTCCTCTGCACAGATGTTACTGTTAATACTTACATAATGTCTCTGTGTTTGTGCATATAGACGACCTTCTATATTATTGTGAGTATATCAGGCATCTCTGGCGACACCAATGAGTTGGAGATTGATCTTCAGCTAGAAACGTAAGTATATCTAGGCTTGCAGTAGTGTCAAGAAGAACATCATATGAATAAATAATACTACAGATACAGCAGATACACCCCCTGGACTGTAATGCAGTCATGCGTTAAAATTTTGCATTAAAGGGACAGTTCATCCCAAAGTCAAAAATAAAGATTTTTTTTTACTTGTATTGCTCCTTATCAATCTAGATTGTTTTGTTATAAGTTGCTGAATGTTGGAGATATTGGCTGTAGAGATGTCTGCCTTCTCTCCAATATAATGGAACCACATGGCACTCCGCTTGTGATGCTCAAAGTGCCAAAACATTACAGTTGAAAAACTCTACATGAATTACATTTTCTAGAAATCATGGCCTGATTACTTAAGATAATCCACAGACCTTGTTGTGAGCAGTTTCATGTAGGAACTATCTCCTCCTCCGAACTACACCTGCCAACCATATCACTGCGCAGAAGGAAGTGTGCATCTACTGCTAGCTCACCTAGCACCACTGAGCTAGCTAATGTTACAGCTCAGCTGAGGAGGATGCCATTAATGTTTACATCTCACGCTGTCACAAACACAAGCCTCTCATCCATGAGTAGATGCACACTTTCTTCTGAGCAGTGACACTGTTGATAGGTGTAGTTCGCTAGAAAGAAAATAGTTCCTACATGAACCTGCTCACAACAAGGTCTGTTGATTATCTTGAGTAACTGGCTCTTGGTCTCTGGAAAAAGTCATTGTTGTTGAGTTTTTCAAATGTACTGTTTTGCCGAGTACCATCTAATCCAATTATATTTGAGAGAGGGCCCGATATCTCCAACACCCAGTAACTCACACCAAAACAATCTGGCTTAAAAATAGCACAATAGGTAAGAGGTAAAATATGTATTTTTGATTTTGGTGTGAGCTGTCCTTTTAACATGTGTTGTACATTATCTAACTCGCCCTGTGTGTGGATTCTGATTCGACAGGACGAGCGTTCAGAAAATACCTCCTGTTAAAGCAAAGGCAAAGGTGGCCGTCATGTTGCAGCTGTCTATATCAGGGTAAGAAACGCACACACAGAGAAGCTCGTGCCCCAAAACACTCAAGTATGCACAGATTCATGCTTCGAACTGTGCTCCTCTGTCTTTCCAGAAACGCCCAGCCATCTCAGGTCTACTTTGGAGGAGAGGTCAAAGGTGAGTCGGCCATGAAGACTGAAAATGACATCGGCAGTCCCATCACACACCAGTTCAGAGTGAGTATATGTGAACTACTAGATATCCTTTTCACAGTGGGTAGGTCTCCGCATGTATCTCTCTATGTCATTGAAATGTTTATAACACCGACATTCATGTACACGTCATACATGCCGACCTTGAGACCTGAAAAATGGGGAGGATTCTGAAACCAAAGGTCTTGGGGTCCTCCCCCAGAAAAATCTGCCTGACAGAAAAAAAGGAAGCAGCAGATTTTAAAAAATGCATGTACCTTTCCTTTCAAACTTTACCAAAGAAACAGGAATTCTTCTTTCCAGGAAGCCTGAAATTTGCTTGAGTATTTCTGTAGTCTCTCCTAGACTTTTCTGTCTCTGTCCTCTAGCTCTTTAATGGCAATTTAATTGTATTTAAAATGCCCCTTTATAATGTGTTTACTTTGTCTTTTATCTCTATCTCAACCCAACTAAACTCTTATGTATTTATAAAGCACATTTAAAAACAGCTCACATTGACCAAAGTGCTGTACAAAAGGAATAAAATGCTATAAACACATACATGAGAGGCAACATAACTGTCAGGTACACCGCTCACACATTTAGAGACACAACACACACAGGCACGCGTCAGGGAAAGCCACATCAGCGGGACGCAAACGATAATGAATAGTGAGCCTGGACTTAAAGAGTTGATGGTGAAGGCGGATCTGATCTGATCTGATCTGATCTATGGTTTTGATGTTTTATGTAAAGCACTTTGACATGGCGTTTTGCTGAAATGTGCTTTATAAATAAACTTGCCTTGCCTTGCCTAGTACTCTAAATTTCTCTCTCAGTCTCTCACTAACTGAGGAGGACAAAGTGCGCGCAGCTCTTGTCTGCGTCTTAACAGCAACATTTGGTGTGCCTGTATTGTTGTCTGGGTGTAAACAGTAGACTTTTTGAGTTGTAGGGCTTATACATGCTGTACAGTGCCAGAGACAGGGCACTTAAAAGCTGTAAGATTGGCATGTATCGTACAGGTGCTTTATCTAGATAAATTATACTGTATCATTTGAGGTGACTGACACTGATCCTGTCTTGGTTTACAGATAATCAATCTGGGAAAAAAAATGAAAGGCTCTGACACCGCCACCCTCAACATCGACTGGCCAAAAGTGAGTGATCAGGGGCATTGGCTGCTCTACCTGATGAAGATCAGCGCCACTGGAGTGGAACAGATGGAGTGCACTCCTAAATCAGAGATCAACCCTCTGGACAAGGTCAGTGAGAGCATCACATTCATGTGTGGTGGCCACTCAGCCTGCATGTATGATTTTTCACTCTCTTTATTAAGAGCAGTATGTGGTGAAAGACAAATTTACATTTATATATTTATATTTATTCAGACACATAAACAAGACAAATGTAATAACTTAAAGTACTTTTTATTCTCTGCTTCAAGCAACCAACTAACACAAGGACAAGAAGAGCAGCAGGAAAACTCCTGGAAAGAGACGAGGGCACACTTTCACGTCTACTTGCCTCGAAGAATTCTATAACTCTGGTAACAACTCCACTCTACCAAGTTCTATTCTTTGGTTTTAAATTACCACATTGAATGTCCAGTAGTAGGGGAATCCAATGGTAACGCTGTGCTTCCTTCTTTGTTGACAGTCCTGTGGCAGTGGGGCAAAATGTGTGAGGATAACATGCCCCCTGCGGGGCATGGACAGTAATGCAGTCATCACTATCAACTCTCGCCTCTGGAACAGCACCTTCTTAGAGGTAACAACACTGACTGCAGGAAAATTCAGTGTTTTTACTCAACTCTTATATGTTGTATAATTTAAAAAAAAATTCAGATTTGAGTTTGCATTTTTCAATATTTTTTTTTTTCATAATTTCTTTAGTAGTCTCAGCCATGTGATGTTAAAGGAAAACAAAAATTGTGCTTAGGGGCTGGAACACTAAAAGTAAATCCACACACATAAGCAATTTAGTAATGTGAATTGGATTATTAATGTTATTAATGAATTTATGTGTTTTATTTATTTTAGATGTTATCATTCCATAATAGAGCAGTATTCAATTTTCACCAGTCCTTATAAAAAACGTAGCCTTTGTTTTCTTAAATGATCATTAGTGTAGTCTTGACACAGTTTTTTTTTTTTATCAAGAGACATGGTTTATTGCAGCAAATTAATAATGTGTAGTTTAGTGTTTTCTTTAATGACCTTAACGTAATCTAAACTTGACCTCCTGTTTTTTCTTCAAACAGTATTATCCAAAGCTGCATCATGTGGAGGTGATAATGGGGGCCTCTCTGCATGTTGATAGCACAGCACAGAACATAGTGCTGCAAAATGCTGAGACACAGGTAATTCAACACAACAGAAAAAGTATTTACAATATAATGATCATGCAGAACGTAAGAGCATGTAAATGTAAAGTATAAAAAGTGTAGTTGACCCTCTGATCCAGAGGTGATGTTCTCCCACTGTATTGTGTTCTCCAGGTGAAACTGACGGTGTTCCCAGAGAGGCGTGCAGCCTCGTATGGAGGAGGAGTGCCCTGGTGGATCATCGTGCTGTCTATCCTGTTTGGGCTGATGCTGTTGGCCCTGTTGGCTTTCCTTCTGTGGAAGGTAGGCCCAAAGGACACACACATAAAGCACACTTACATTTTCAAGAATTTTAAAGACCTAACAGTTTATAAAGCACCATTTACAGAGCAACTGCTGGTATCCATAACTGCAACTATACATGTTCTAATAATTTTCCTCTCCTCAGTGTGGACTCTTTGACAAAAAGAATAAGGAACACCCATCAGAAAAAGAGAGACTGACAAATGCATAAAAAGAGTGAGAGGGTAACATTACCCGGCCTGCCACAAATGAGTGAAACTTTCTCTCTTGCTCCTTTTTTTGGCTATAAAAACACTGCTTCCTGGTAATAAGCAGGCGGTGGGCAATTCTCATACTGTGACATGAATGCTGTCATAAAAGCTGACTGATTATTCCTGCAAAGAGTTAATGCCTAATAGATTTTCACACATGATAATGTGTGGATCATCGTGGTTTACCTGCATGGCAAGGGGAGGTGATGGCTGATGAGCAGTGACTGAGGAACTACACCATGGGGGCTGATCTGCATCTCTTTGATTTTCTCTCTTCCTCTGATTCCACTTTATTTTGTTGCTGTCGCACATGTTGTCACTTGGTCTGAAGGTTTCTTTTGCTATACATTTCAACACAGGGGCAAAATGTTTCCTCTTCTTCCTCATCTTAAAGAGGAGTGCAGATGGCTTGTCTACTCATCTTAAAGAGATAGTTTGGATTTTTTGAAGTAGGATCGCATGAGGTACTCATCCATAGTCAGTGTATTACCTACGGTAAATTAAAGCCGGCACATTACCACTTTGGAGAAGCAGGCAGGAGTACTGCTACGAAAGCTAAGCAATGCACTGCTGCAGCCAAATGTATTTTAGCCACCTATAGAAGTTCCCACCTATGAAATCAATATCAGTTTAAGTGTATGCTATATCTAGAATACTTTAACCGCTGTACCTTGCCGTCAGACAGCCATTTGTGATGGTGAACTAAAGCCATTATCCATTGATAGAAACAGTAATTTTAATTTGCAAAACACAGGAGCTGCTGGTCTACTGCTGCCTCAATACATTAGTTTGTTTCTCCGAATCCGAACTAACCCTTCAAAACCCCAAAAGTCAAACAAACCAAACAATCAATGCATGGATCCACTGTGACAGAAATTTGACAATGGAGTCTGGTTGGTTTGAAGGGAGCAATAAAACAGCTTTAGCTCCCCAGCTTTAGTTCCCCATGATGAAAGTGGTGAAAATATTCTAAATATCAATCAATCAATTAATCAAACAATCATTTATTTGTCATATGGAATTATACAAGGTAAAACTCCAGTGAAATGTGATCCCATCAGCTCCTTTGACTTGTGCTCTGTAATTTAGTCCTTTTATTTGCGTCTTTTTACATTGCTGGCTGCCGCTTTTGTGGTAATTCATGGGATCTGATTGTGGAGTGATTTAACTGTACATACATCCCAAACCCAAAAAGACAGCCGCATGGTTGCTCTTCCAGCAACACAGGCAAAGCGTATAGCAATTATCCACTGCAGGAACGGGACAGCACCTCACATTCACATACATCTGCTCTCCTTCTCTTACAAGAGTCCTCTGCTTCTCTGAGTTGTGGTGAATCAAAGATATTACAGCTACTGAAATCAAGTTGGAAACTGATGCAGCACAGAGGTCGTCAGATCATTTGACACCACCTGTACAATGGCTAGCAGGATGCTAGTTCAGCTGGTGCCCATTATTCTTCATGTTTCCTCACTGGTTACATTTAATAACCTCAACCTGGCAACCAAGCAGCCAGCTAGCTAGGAGTCAGCAGGAGAGTTTTAAGCCACCATCATCCAAAGCCAATTACAAAAAGCACCACCAACAGAAACAGACTAAATTTAGCACAAATGTAGCAGAGCTGAAAGAGAGGCGTCCGTGCCTAAGTCATAATTATTTTAAAATATAGTGTACACTTAAAGTGAAATGGATTGCTGCCCCCGTCCACGACAGTACATTGCTTACCTTAAGCGGCGATATTTCTGTACCTCATGCAACTCCTTTTCTCAAAATCTGAACTATCTCTTTAATGGATTTGCTGCATCTTGGCTCTCGCTTATCAGAGAGATGACGTTAAATGTCTCGTCAACTCTCTTTGCTTTCTCTGAATGCCTTTAAATAACCGTCCTACCCAAACAAAACACTGATTTTGTTTTCTCTTTCTTCTCTGCAGTGTGGCTTTTTTAAGCGTGCCAAATATGAAGACAAGGTTCCCAGTTACAACGCTGTTCGGATCAAACGCGAGGAGAGAGCAGTCAACCCTGGGAATGGTAACTGGGAAAACCTGGAAAAGAAACCCTGGATGACAACCTGGCATGACAAAGAACATTATTCTTAACAGCCAATGAGATCCGACTCCACACCGATTCCCTGTCGCTTACTGATGAGCTCCCAAATTGACTGATTATTTCCTGCCTTGTGTTTGCACAGCATGGACTGTAAATATCAAGAAACAAAGAAAATCATTTGTTAAAAAAAAGATGAAAAAGGACTAAATTCTAGATCAAAACTGCTTTAGGCTGAATTGATCTCGGATTAAGTCTGTATGAATCACTGGAAGAAGAGTTGTAGTGTGGGAGATGGTCCTGCACAGCTACTGTCTGTCAGAGCTTTGGAACTTGTTTTGTACATTTACTACATTCACAGTGTTGACTGGGGGAGGGAGGGTAGGTATGTTTTTAGATTTTTTGTACATTTTTTGAATGGTTTTGCAGAATTGTTTTGTATTTATTCTTTGTGAGGAGTACTTTGTTACATGCCCTACAGGCCAAAGAGTCATGCAATGCATACATAGGCGACTTTTTTTCAAACTTTCCCTAAGGTGATTTGTTTCTTCCCCCCAATTTAAAAGCCCATGTTTTAGCATTTCTATTGTACATCTGCCTTAACTATTGATCAATCAGCATTTTTCATGCTCAAGATGCCTCAGGTTGTTCATTATAGAGGAAGTGCAACTTAAATTACAGTCGTGTAGCTCTTGGTTTTTAGAACTACGACCTCTAAAGCCTCTGCAGAATTCACCTTTTATTCCCTGGCTGTAAAATAAGAAAAAAATGAGAGCAAACAAAGTTTTTGAATAAAATTTTTAAATGTCATACTCATGTGTTTTGTGTTTGATTATTAAAGGCCAAATTAATGAGTTTTAGGCAACAGGAAGACGTTTAAATAATTATTTGTTAATATGTAATAAAGCATTTAGAGAGTGCTTAAATCAGTTGTTTGTTAAAATATGTCATTAAAAAAAAAAAA